TATTGCTTATGTAAGATGAAAAGGATGCTTCATCTCGCTGGGGGGGGGGGCTATTCAAGGACAGCTGCCTCAATGAGCTTCGCTCTGCTGAGCTCCTCCCAGCTCCTTTTACCCTCTCTTCTTGCATCTTTCACAGGTGATGCAAAGCTGCAGTGAAACGGTAGTCGTGTGCATTTGAAGGAACAGCAACGACAAGCAGCTGAAATGACCAGGCCCCAGAATGTTTAAGCTCAAATGCAGGATATTATCCGGTGCTCCTGCAGAAGTGGAGGACAGACTTTAGTAGCTGCTTTTCAAAGAGCTAACAGCTTGCATAAGCCAGTAAAGCAGGCTCACGGTTAGTTACAACAGCTGTTTTCCCCTTCTTTATCAAGCAACAAGTTCTCCTTGCCTACTCAGCAGGACAAAAATCCTCAAAGATAAAATCAAGGCAAACAGATACAAAGCAAAATCCACCCCCCCACACCAAAACAAGGATACATTTGTAAACTCCAGAGAAAAAAAATCAACCGTACAACAATCTCCTAATCAGATGAGATTATTCAAGCAACCTACCTACCTCAAAATACATTTCCAAGGGTGAAGACTATCATTTTATGGGTAATGTAATTCAAAGATGAATGAAAAAGTGATTCAGAATGAATGCAAGAAAAAAAATGCATCAAACAATGCACTAAACAAGACTGACAAATCTTTTGCAAAATTGTAACACTGTATTCTCTGTATTAAGCCGTAAACAAAGGGCTGCAATGACCTTCAACACAGGCCTCTCTGTTGGGCAGGTCAGGGTCATGCTGAAAGCTTGACCCACTCCTCCAGCTCAAAGGCTAGTTCTTCGAGAATGAAGGAAGGGGTGCTTTAGGCTAAGGGCAGCAAGTAAATTTGGGTCACAGAAGGCAGCATCTCTGAGGAATGGAAGTGCCCAAGTCCAAGTCCAAGATCCACAGCTCACCTTAGCTGAAGAGGAGGAGTCATATGTTGAAAAATGCTATTTTTTTCTATGCTATTTTTTTCTATGATAGAAGATTAAACAATGTAGTGTTTCATCAGAATGTACTTACTACATACTTGGACTTAATGTTTATGTAACCTTAAGAAAAGCTCATAAACTAGACAGTCATCCCCTACCCCTAACAAATTTTAGGGCCTAATGTGAACAATTCACATCAGGTTACAACATGAAAGACTTAGCATGGAGATGGTCAGTAAATGAATACATGTCTCTGTCTCTCTGTTTCTGCTTCTGTCTCTCTTAAACACACACATACACACATTCAAATAAGTATTTTCTAAGGAGGTTTTAAAGAAGGTCACACCAATGAATTGCTATCTCTTAAAACCCAGAAAAATGACAAGAGCCTAAGAGGTAACGGGAATAATTCTTGTTTTCCTTTGACCTCAGTATTTTTTTCAAATATAAATTTGTTTTTATTGCTTTAAACATTAAGAATATGTGAAGTCACTTAGGAAACTGAAGTTAGGGCAAAATCAAACAAATGACCACAGGATATTGAAAAGTGCAAAAGTTAGAAACCATTATGCTAAGAACTAAGAATGCAGAAAAACACATGTATAAAGAAAACTAATTCACAAAAACTTCAAGTTAATTTTTAAAAGTCTAAAAGCCTTTTTTCTGTCATACTGTGTACAATTAAATAGGAGAACTATGGTTTGATCTTTAGGGGTAAAGTCACTAATTTTAAATTAAGAAATAAACTGAATATTTGGAAAAGCAAAATGGTTATTTTCTTCTAGCCTCAACAGGCAGAAAGTGCCACAAAGTTAAATTAGTTCAGCCTTTCATAATGATTTGGCTGAAATTACTAGATAGATTAGTTTATCTACTTTCTTCCCTTACTGTGGAAACAATACAGGCTCAGTACAGAAATGTAGAAGAATGAAATATAAACTATCTGTGGTACTGTTACACAGAGATTAGCCACTGCTTGCATGAGTTTTTTTTTCTGTTTTGTTTTTTTTTATTTCATGCAGTCCTTTCTTTTAAAGGTTTTGTGGGGGGGGGTGTAATAAGTTTATTTATTTTTTTAGTGGAGGCACTGGGGCATTGAACCCGGGACCTCATGCATGCTAAGCATGCGCTCTACCACTTGAGCTATACCCTCCCCCTGCATTAGTTTTGACTAACCTCATATCACACTTAACTTTTTTAAAAATTAATTCAGTATTTGATTTTAGATAAAAATTTTATTATGTTTTTGATTATGAATTAATCCTTTTTTAAAATGTTTCATAACTCTCAAAATGCCTGCCTCATAGCATGTACCAAATAAATGCAAAAAGTATCCCGAATATACTAGTTTATTCTCCATTATTCTTCAACTTTTAAATTTCTGTTGATTTCAGTGATGATTACTCTCTTCCAAATACAAACTGAAAAAAAAAAAAATCCAAAAAAAAACTCCTAAAGGAAGTTCCTCTCCTAATGCTTTTCTAATTTTATGCTGCAATTTTTTTATTACATCAAGTAACCAAACTGAAATCTATAAAATTAATCAGAAATAAAAGAATTACTGTTTAATATGCATAGAACACATCTTCTGAACAGGAAACATTTTTCTCTCTGTTAAGTACAAAATATATCATAGTCATAAAACATCAAAAATATAATTGATGTGGGTAATTGATTACAACGAATCTAAATTAAATCTTAAGCATCACTTAAATTTATTTAATTCAAATAAAATTCACCCAGTCACTAATGGCTAATAAACCAAGCCTTAATGATTAAAGGAGAAATGTTTAGCTCCATATTCAAAATTTTAAATTAAACTACAGCAGTGTTATTTAACTTTTTTCAGATATCAGGATACCTGGAACTCATAGCATTTTTGGCAAACCACCTAAAACACTGATTAAACTTCAAAACTATTAAAAAAGTAACTTTTGGCAAAATCAGACCCCTCTTACAACAGATTTTATTATGTATACCTGAGAAAAATTATCGGTGGAGATGAAGGTAAATGAACCATTATTTGATTTTAGCAGCAAAGCTCGGTTCAGGTTGAGCCTCTGAAGAACAGTTTGAGAAGCACTAAACTAGAAAGCTCTAAACTGCCACATTTGTATGTGCAATTTACACTAGAACTTCTAATGCCTTCTTAACATTTAAAAATGCCAGCAGCACCTGATAGCCTCCTCAATTATCAAACATCTCTGATTTGCTTTTGTCTTCTGCCTTTAGAAAACACAGATCTGGTTCCACTGAAGCACAATCCACAGTCACCAGGGCCCAAAAGACAAAAGAACTCTGGCAGGGACACACCACGTACTTGTTTACAGATTTCATCTAGTTAGGCCTGCACGTAATTAGACTGAGCATCGTGACCTGGCACCTAAAATCCCGCTTGCCTCCACCGTTACCCTGATTTCCCACACTTCTCAAATCCTTTGAGCTTTGATTTTCTGAACTACTGGGGTTCCCATCCCAAAGACTATGACACAATCTAGTTTGGTTTGGTAATTGTTCTGTCTCCCTTCCCCACCCCAACCGATGTGCAGGGATGAGTAAACACATCGTATTTCTTTTCTACACCAAAAACACACAGTGCTGGGCAAAGAACTCAACAAATATTTGACCAGCTTTTAACCAGTTCACCGACATCGGTGAAGTTTCTGAGTTTTTCTTCAGTGCTCCCTTCAAGTGAAAAAAGTTATTTTCTTTAGCTGATGAGATGCCTTGTTTGCCTTTCAGTTTACTTTCACCTCTTAACAAGGCTGGTGTGTCATGGCCTTCACAGCAGAGGATGTGCAGGGCTAGGAAGTCAGCCCACTGATTTGTGCAAACCAAGAACTCAGCACCAAGGAGTTCGGAAAGTGACTACAGAGGCAGCAAAAAGGAGTAACAGCCAGGAGCCCCAGTTCTTTTAAGAAAGAATATTTAGCTCAGACAACTCAGAGCTGCCTGCTTGCTTGCTTGCTTTCTCTCATTTTTTATGTTGCAGAATACTTTAAAAGGCATCCACCTACCTACCTGCTTTATATAGTAAATTTTCATGACGAATCAGTTTGTATATATTTTTCACTTTTATGAACTTAATGTGCCATAAATTTTGAAAATAAGTTTCTGAAAACTACAGTCATCCCTCAGTATCCACAGGGGATTCGTTCCAGGACCCACTGGTGGTACCAAAATCCACTGATGCTCAAAGTCAGCCCTCCAGATCCGCAGTTCCAAATCCGTGGGTGCAACAGACCTCAGGTCTAATAGGGTAGTATTTCTTGAAAAAATTCTGCATATAAGTAGACCTGCACAGTTCAAACCATGCTGCTCAAGGGCCAACTGTATATCTCTATGTTCAAATTATAAACCCAATTTTATAACACAGAAAAGGCTCAAAAAAGAAAAACAAGAAATCACATCTCGAAGCTTACCATATATGGGGGAAAATGTGAAGGATTCCAAATGACAAATATTATAGGCTTCAATTCTAACATCTTTCCAGATGCCCTGGGTAGGAAAGGAAGGCCCCCAGTCCCAACTGAAGGAACACTGCTCCTGCAATTTCAAGGGGAAAAAAGAAGAGAGATTCTGATTACCATGAAATTTAAACATTATGAAAAACCTTTTCTTTTAAAATTTTATGCATGTGTATATTAGTGCCACAACAAAATACCACACACTGGGTGGCTTAAACAATAGAAATTACTTTTCTCACAGTTCTGGAGGCTGGGAAGCCCCAGATCAAGGTGTTGGCAGGTTTGGCTTCCGCGTTCTCACGGTGCCCTCACAGAGCCTTTTCTGAGCACACGTATCCCTAGCGTCTCCCTCTGTTGTCCGAATTTCCTCCTCTTGTAAGGACAGCAATCATACTGGATTAGGACCAATCTGAATGGTCTCATTTAACTTAATCACCTCATTAAAGACCTCATCTCTAAAGAGGGTGATATTTTGACCTAGTAAGGGTTAAGACTTAAATATACGTATCAGGGTGGGACAAGTAAGTCCGTAATAGTGTGTGTGTGTCTCATATACAGCATCTAAAATGACCTACAATGACCCTTTCCTGGTGTTCATGCCCTTGTGTAACCCCCTCCCCTTGAGTATGGATTAGTCCTAGGGAACCACTTCTAACCAACAGAACACCGCAGGGGTGATGGCCCTTCCAAAATTAGGTAATAAAAGAGACTGCACCTTCTGTCTTGGGTGCTCTCTCTCAACTCTCTATTGGCCAAGGGGGAAGCCAGCTGCCAGGCTGTGAGGCAGCTCCGTAGAAAGGCCCACGTGAGTGAGCCTGGAGGCCCATCAGAGGCCTGCCCATAACCACATGGGTGAGCTTAGGCAGGCCTGGTCCGGACTTAAGATGACTGAAGCCCTGGTCCACAGCTTGACTGTAATCTCCTGAGTGACCTTGAGTCAGAAGTTTCCAGCTAAGCCACACTTACATTCCTGACTGACAGAAACGTGATAATAAATGTTATTTTAAACTGGTACGTTTTGATATAAGTGTTACACAGCAATAGATAATACAGCAACTAATCTGTCAACCTGGGCATAGTTAAACTTGGCAGAAATGTTCTAAGACCACAAAGCCTAATTATGTTCCTTTACTCTTTAAAAGCATATTGCACTGAAGCAACACAAAAGTTACTCTTGAAGCTTCTCCAAAATATCTCTGAACCTACCACTGTATTTAAATGTAATAACTATAAAGAATGAGGAAATATATTGAAAGATAAATATATTTTTCTATCCTCCCCCTGATAAAGATATTTATAAATAGGTTTAAGAAATTCCAGCTAGACTTGCCAACCCCTATTTCTGCCAGTAAGAATTCAGAAGTCCTGGTTTCTGAACTTACAACCTAAAGGTAATCAGTTCAGAATTTAGACAGTGACACAGGTGGCCAGAGCAGAATTCTTCTGATTTCTCCTTCTTTAAAGAAAAAAAAAAGGTATTTGCAAAATATAGTCAATTACAATGTGTGAGGCTATGAAAGCTTTTAAAAAAGAACAAGAACTAGAGGAAGCACTTGATCTTCTGAGGGGAGCACTTGTAGAACAGAGCCTGAGCACTTGGCCACACTGTCCTCATTTAAGGATGCAATTTAGGAAGTCCTAAGCTCTGTATTTATCTAAAACAGAGATAATTTAGTTTCCATTACAGAAAAAGATAAAGAATTAAAATCACAGCATCCACATCTGTATAAATTCACTTAAGTATCATGTTCACCACTTAAGATTCTCATGCTCAAAATGAAAACCACCTTGGAGATATTGACTCAAGAGTCTGTGACTTCAGTTATGTAATCTTTTACTAGGGACAAGGAGAAGGAGGAGGGCAAAAATATTCAACATCATATAAGGCAGACCATTCTCCCCAGCAAGGGCTACAAATCAGCCTTCTGCATACAACCTCTCCAAATAAAAGGGCTTTCTATGTTTCAGGCTGGAAGCATATCAATCGGAGGTTGACCTGGATAAAGAGACTCGGAAGGAATGTCCGCAGATGCAGGTGGAAACAGGGCAGGTGGTGTAGAATACTGCTAAGAGGGTAGCCGAGGTGAAGGGTCCACCCATCCAAGCCTGACACAGACGGAAGCAGACACAAGAGGGGATTTGTGTTAAAATGGAGACAGCGAGGGAGGGGTCAAAGAACAGACAGAGAGTAGCATTTCCTCTTTACACCCCACTCTCCACCTCTACCCATTAACTTCATATAAATTATGCCGAGGTGTTTAGTGAGTTACATACTTAGAAGTTCTTATTACAGAAGTAAGTCTCCAAAATATGTAATATCCTTTCCCTCCACTGTGAAAAGCTGCAGAGCACTTTACAGTATGCAAATATGTTATTACTTCACTGTATCCTCATATCAACACAATTAAGAAGGAGGAGAAAAGATCTGCTCCACATACGAATGATGGACTTGACTACAATCACTCTTATTTTGTAAAGCCAGAATTCATAGCCAAGATCCCTGGCTTGGTCTCCAGTTCAGGTCTCTTCCCACTGGATCTTGTAACTAACCAGAAACATGAAGAGGCAAATCATTGTTCTGGCAAGTTTGCCCCACGGTTACTGTCCCACAGACTGCAAGGGCGGAAACCTGGGTCTGATTTCTGATTTCAGTAACAAAAGATTTTGTCCTACCCAGATAACCTGAAAGAGTGTTGTAAACGCCACAGCTGAATAGGGGGACAGAGGGAAAATACCACATGGGCATATGAATAACATGTGTATTTATATATACTATACAATTTTATTAATGACCTGAAAAGCAAGCTTTTCACATTCGGATCCAGGAAGTCCTTGTTTTGATAGAAAGTTAAACACAGAAGAAGAGAGGGAAAAATTGCAACCTCTAGTATTCAAACCACTATGCCATTTGAAGCCAAAGGAAAAACACAAAAGACGAATTTTACATAGAAGTGTAAGTACCCAAGTGTTCCCTGGGACACCTGACTGTTCAGTTACAGCAGTATGAACAGATACTGCCTAAGACAATGACAGAAGTTTGGGGAGGTCAAACCAAACAGGAGGAGGCACAGTTTTGACCTTAATACTTATATTAAGGAAACATAACTTAATGGTAAATCCTTCTAGTCCAAAGAGAGCCATTTAATAATCAGAACTTATCAACTGAGGTTTTAGCTAATGAGAGCTGGAAAAATACTCTTAGTATCTTCACAATGAAATCAATGATTACATTTGTTGTTAAAACCAGTTTCTAAAAAAATTAAAAATATTATTATCATATAATCCAGTAATCCCACATCTGGGTATAGAATCCAAAAGAACTGAAAGCAGGGTCTCAAAGAGATATTTGTACATCCATATACAAGCAAAATTATTCACAATAGCCAAAAGGTGGAAGCAACCCAATGTTCACTGACATTGAATGAATAAACAAAATGTGGCATGTGCATACAATGAAATATTATTCAGCCTTAAAAAGGAAGGAAATTCTGGCACATGCTACATCATGGATAAACCTTGAGAACATTATACTGAGAGACCTAAGCCAGTCATGAAAAGACAGACACTATGATTTTACTTTATGAGGTAACTGGAGGAGTCAAGTTCACAGAAGCAGAAAGGACAGTGGTTGCCAGGGCCTGAGAGTAGGGGAAAATGGGGAGTTATTTTTTTAATGGGTATAGAGTTTTAGTTTTGCAAGATAAAAAAGTTCTGGAGATTGCTTTCACAACAGTGTGAATATATTTAAGACTACTGAACTGTACACTTAAAACAATTAACATGGTAAATTTTGTGTTACATTTTACAATTGAAATTTTCCAATAAAAATTAAATCTAAAACAAAACGTCACGTAGAATACTAATTCAATGAGTCCAGTCATCTAGCCTGAGATCAGACTCAAAGAAAAATAATCACCTGTGAGTTTTGTTATCTTAGATTTTATAAGAACCTAGCAAAAAATATCGAGTATGTCAACAAATATTCTAATAGTTGTAGGAGGCTTCTTAGTAACAAGGATCACTCAAAAATATGAACCCTTCAAAAAGATAAACAGATAGATAAATAGACAGACAGATAGGTAAGAACCCTTCAGTCTGGTGAAAAGTTTGATAAACCTGAGTGTTTTTTTTTTAAAGTAAAGGTGCGTTGTCAGTCACCTATTTTTCTTCTTTCTCCAACATTGCCTAAGTTCTGAAGCATGCCTCAAGAAGGAAACCTAGAAAGACAGATTCTCCACAAAATTCACATAACTTTTGGTTCTTATTTCCAATTTTTAATTCCCACTAAGGGGGCAGGAAAGAGATGCCCAACTTCTAAAATACAACTGGAGTCTTCAAGCAAGCATCTCATATGCTGGAATGTCATACTCAAGGCTAAAGCCCCCCACTGTGGGACCATTACCTTCCGAATAAAGTTGACATGGCACTCGCCCTCCTGCTCACTTGGAGGGCAGCTGGGGGGCACCTCGTAGCTTGTGTGAGCTTTGCTCCTCTGGTCCGCATATAACACTGGTGACTGGAAATACAGCTCGATGAAGTTCACTGCTTTGACCACGTGTGTAATATCAAACCTCTGAATTATAAAGAAAGAACAGATGTGGAAGATTTTACATGTGTAAAATTTTAGCTATAGGCAGAATGTATGAAACATGCATTAAAAAGAATGAAATATTTAGGTTTAAACTTTTTGCAGGAGAAAGCACTTCTCCAAAATAGTATGACTTAGTTGCTGGCTTTTAGTTACAACTGAGCACGTTCTCCTACCCAAACGTAGATTTCTAGGTTTTCTCCTGCTATTTTTACTGATGATGATGGTCCTAGGCAAACAGAGCAAGCAGAGACTATCTTTAGCCCTGGAATGTCTGCTCTGGCTATTTACACATGGCTCTGAATTGCCAAGGATTTCCTAGACACTTCGTGATAACCTGACTCTCTGGTATGCATAGCATGCATTTCTAAGTCATAAGTTAGTTTTATTTTGAAAAGTCTACCCCTGAAAGGGAAGGGAGCTCAGGAATACAAGCTTTTAAGGTAACTGTTCTAGTAAGGAAGGAACGTTTTCTTTTAAAATGGCTTGTCAATTGCCATTTCCCATGAAACTCTCGATTACCAATTAGTAAGGGAAGGGAATGGGATTTGTCAAACATTTCCTATGTGCCCAAAACTGTGCCGATCATTTTATATAATTAGCTCCTTAAATCCTCACAATAACTCCATCCGGCTGGAGTGTCTTCATCATTCCACAAATGTGGCAACTGAGAAATAAAGTAACTTACTTACCCAGTGCATCAAAGGGCTCGTGCCTCCCTGCGTGGGCAATCATGCACTTACCTTCCCCCCTCAGACAACAATGAACACAAACACACACAAGTGGTCCTTTTTAACCTGATGTCATTAGGTACTTACATATCTTCTGAACATGTTGTCTGTTTCCCCAACAGGAACGCCATTGAGCAGGACTTTTGTAACTGTGTCGACACCCTCAAGAATCAAATTTACTTTCTGCCATTCGCTAAAAAAAGATTTTTAAAACAAGATGTATGAAACATTAACTTAGGTAACTCTTTTTTTTATTAGTTAAGAATGAAAGGAGTAAATGTTTCACAAAAATATATATATATTCTTAAAAGGCATTTTCCAATGAAATTTTCAAAAGTATTGGTTTAATACATTTTTACGTTGAGTGATCCAGTTTATCTTTCTTCATAAAATTTCAATCACCATAAAATCATGAGCACAACTTCTAATTTCTAAATGCTTTGACTTTTTTTCTAGAACTTCACAAAGTTCTTATAAGAACGAAGTTAAGTAATAGACACAAAACGCTTTCACAGACTATTACATGTACCAACACTAAGAGAATGCATTAACCAACTAACAAGTATCTATGAGTAAATATGTGCCCAGCACTCTGCTAAGCCTTATAGGAAACTAAAACAATCTTTGAATTTAAGGAGTCTGCAGTCAGGTTAGTATTCAAGCCTAAAACACAGGAAACACAGACAAAGCTTTCAACCTCTTCTAGTTTGTAGTGCAGTCTTGTTGGATGCAAGTGCTATCAGAGCCTGCCATAAGGAAAGACTTCAAGAAGAAAACAAGAGTTTAAAGAAGAGTAAATAAAGTGTGGTATATCTATACAATAAAATAGCATTTGGCAATAAAAACAAATGAAGTACTGGTGAATATGACAACATGGATGAACTTCAAAACATTATGCTAAATGAAAGAAGCCAGCCACAAAGGACTACATATTGTATAATTCCATTTATTTGAGATTTCCAGAAGAAACAAATTCAGAAATAAATAAATCAGTGGTTGCCTAGAGCTGGGGAGGGATGGAGGGGACAAAGATGCAGGAGGTGGTACAGGATTGGCAAGTAAGCAGTACTTTCACAGATAAGCAGAGAAGATCACACTTGATCTGCCAATCAAAAGGAAGAATCAATGGTAAAAATCAGCATTCTGATGGATCAAGATAAATCACATATTTCTTCCACATACAAAAGGAAAATAAAAAGACAAAGCAAGAAATCTAGTTAGGCAGCTTTGGTCTCATTCCAGGTACTCACTAATAAAAGTCTAGGCAAAGGTGGAAATGAGGAGGAAGAGGCTGAATCAAGAAAAATGGTAGGCAAAAATGAATAGTTCTCAGAAACAGACCAAATACAGGGAGATGAAGGAAAGATATGATGAGCCAAAAGCCCCTTGGGCATGGAAGATTGGAAAGATGCTGTTACATCAAGAGAAATAATAAGGCTGCTAGAATATAAAGTAAGCTTTAAGTGGGAAAGTCAACTGGTTAAGTTTTGGATTTGCTGAGTTGAAGGTGAAGCAGGACACCCTATTGGAGATATTTTAAGTACTATCTGGAAATAAGAGCCCAGAACACAGTAATTCCGTGATATTGAGCACTACATTTTGGTTTTATTTCTCTTTTAAGAAGCTAGTAAACAATTACCAACAAAAAGTAATATTAAAGGAACAGAAGGGTTTTTTTTATTTAACAATAATGGTGGTAGATATAATTGGGTTATATTCTGATACTTAGAACATCACTGAAGACCGTATCATGCTTTTCCTTATGGCCTCATGATGTAATATAAGGCCAATGCCATCGTTTCAATGACTGGTTAACACCACACCAAACAAAAGGTGTCTCTCGGATCCTACTTGACAAAATTATAAATATATACACTCTACGGATTCATAGGAGGGCAAGGGAAGGAAATGATGGTAAAAGAACTGACTAGGTCTAGGTGACATTATTATAACGACTGGAAAAATGAATACAACATAATTTTGTGACTAGTGATCAGTGGCACCATCCTCATACACAAATCAAAATATAAATCATATATTCACTTTTACAGGCTTTAGTCTGAGAACACTCCGATATGCAACCTAAGCAAACAAAAAATTATTGCAGATAGAAAAAGAAGAAAAGTTCAAATAATAATAATAATAAATGGATAGATATTGATATAAACAGAGATATACACACATACATACCCAATGTCAAAGGGGATCACAAAGTTCTTGCTGTAGGTCCAGTTATCCAAGGCGATCCACCTGTAGTTACGGTCATTAAATCTGTAGTAAGGATCCTGTTGAAAAAATGATGGTAGATGATTAAATATGCAAAAATAAATGAATTAAACAAACATGAAATAAATAATTAATGATAGTTATTTATTACCTAAAAACTAATGAACTCTTGGCTTAGAAGGGCATATATTTTATTTATCAGCACATCCCAACCACAAGGCTAATGCTCCATTCATTTATGAGACCATTACCTTTCAAACAAAGTTGACATGGCATTTGCATACTAGAAATACAAAGAATATTTTAAAATGTAGAAAAAAAAAGTCCAACAAAATACCTGAAATGAGTAAGCTCTGAGAAATAAATATTACATAGTTTCATAATCAACAAACATGTGTGGAGATGAAGACTGGCTTCCTTTGTTAAAACCAAACACAATAAAGATGTGTGTCTATATACAATGGAACATTACTCAGCCATAAAAAAGAATGAAATAATGCCATGTGCAGCTACATGAATGGACCCAGGAATTATCATACTAAGTGAAGTAAGCCAGACAGAGAAAGATAAATATAATATGATGGCACTTATATATGGAATCTAAAAAAGATGATACAAATATTGTTTACAAACCAAAAACAGACTCATAGACATAGAAAACAAACTATGGTTACCAAAGGGGAAAAGATGGGAGAGGGATAAATTAGGAATTTGGGATTAGCAGATACACACAAATATATATAAAAATAAAGAACAAGGACCTACTGTACAGCATAGAGAACTATATTCTATTACTTGTAATAACATATAATGGAAAAGAAGCTGAAAAAAATATATGTATATATGTATGTGTATGTATAACTGAGTCGCTTTACTATATACCTGAAACTAACATTGTAAATCAATTACACCTTTAAAAAAAACCACAGAGCCTGCAAGGTATCAGCAGAGAATGAAGGACAGAACTTCTGATGGTGTGGAGCCATCAGCCTCTCATGCCCTGTGGTTCTCACTTTGTGTTTTGCTGCCACTATCCCAGCTGACCTCCAGGGGGAATGTTTCTCTTCCACTGCCCAAAGGTCAGCAAAACTCCCACTCCTTGGATTTACTTAGCATTAACAAAGTTATTTTTCACTCAGCTTTACTAAGTGAGCACAAAAAGGATCTCCTACAGAGAATACACAGGCAGCACAAATACTGCCAAATTTACAAACTTCCCTGCTGACGAAGAAGAAATATTTTGATAAGCGTCAGGGGAAGGAGTGGTTGATGAGAGTTAATAACAACCAGTAATCATTAAGCTGACTTTTAGGGTCTGGTTAACGGTGAGCTTTTGTTCTG